GGGGATGAGGGTGCAAAGAAGGAGATGAGGTTGGACAACACCCACCTAACAGCAGGTCTCTGTGTCCAGAGACAGTGGTTTCTCCCCGAGTAATTTTCCACCGTTTGGCTTTCCCTCCACACACAGACTTGCTCTCAGAGTTCTGACGGTGGCTGCCATCCTCCAGAGGGTTATTCTGGGGCAGTCACCTGTTCAGTGACCCCACCTACTTTGATTTCTGTCCCCATCTCTCAGCACCTCCCACTGCCTTCCCAAAGCCCGGCTCTAGGCTAGGCTATGGCCCCTCTGGACCCCTGGGGCCCATCCCACCCCACCAGGGCCTGGCTCTTGGGCAACTCCACACACACCATCATTGCCAGGCTGGGGCCAACATTTCTGTTTTCTCAGAAGGATCAAAGCCCCATCCCAGCCCTGCCAGGAGGAAGCAGTTTTGACTCGTGCAAATATCTGCAGTCCATTTGGGATTTTACTTTGGTGAGAAATAAATACACAGCCATCTGCAGATGATGGAAATATGACTTAAGTAACTTTTTGGTCGAGGCTTCTGGGCCAGAGCCCAGATGGAAATAAGACCTTGTATCTCCGTCTCCCTTGCACACTTTCAGAAAAAAGAAAGAGCGGGGGTGGGGGGGTGAGGAGTGGGGGGAGGGAAGTTGGTGGAAACTGAAGTTCAAAATGGAGTGTGCTATATTTCTTGGCCTGGGAAAGGAAAAATAAACATCAAACAGCTACCCCATTCAAGTGTGCATTATCTTGCTCATCCTCGCCAAGAACTCACTCTCCTCCCTACTCTGGCCGGGAATTACTGCGCCTACGAACAGCCCCCACGCCCACCCCTAACCCAGGCAGGCAAACAATGGGCCAGAAAGCCCCGGCCAGCCAAGGCCTCTCCCTGCAGCCCCCAGAGGCCGTAAGATTGGGAAACACAAGGCTATTTTTAATGTGTTATTTGTCTACCAACAGCGGCTCCACAGGCCTGAGAAATAGTATCATCTGTGGGAGGTGGCATTGATTTTTTTTTTTTAAACTTGCTCAGACAAAGCCACATTTTCGCAATCTTCAGAAAAGCCAAAAAGCAGCACTCTGCGAGGATGACCTCTTTCCTGGCTTACACCTTCTCTATAGGTGTGTAGGAGAAGTAGCCCCTACTGCTGTGGGCTGGTCAGCAACCAGCACAGGACCCCAGGTCCAGGCCTGGGAAAACGGCATGAAAGGTCCAGAGAGCCTGAAGGAGCTCCAAGCAGGGAGAAGTGAGGAGGGGAGAGTGAGAGTGAGCACCCAACCGGTGACAGAGGCACACACCTGCCCTGGGGGACCTCAGAACATGGGGCAATGGGGCACCCCTAATAGAGGGTGTAGAAGGTCGCACACAGAGAAAACGGCTTCACAATAGCCATCCACCTCTTCCCAAACCCGTGGAATGGGGAGCCCTGTGCCGTGGGCATGTCTGGACACTCATAGAGGGCTGGGAGGGTGCTGGCTGGGTGGGTCTGCCCAGGCCGGGGCAGAGCTAGTCCTCAGGGCAGAAAGGACCACGCTGTAATAGCAGGAGCCTTTCTGTTCCTGGGTCCAAGGGTTTCTGCTATAAGAACATGACCCCAGCCCTGCCAGGACAGAGAGAGAGAAGGATGGATGGAGAGAGAGAGGAGTAAGAGAACTAGAGAGGTGGGAAACAGAAGCATAAAGTGAGGGGAGAGAGGAAAAGATGCAGTGAGGTGGGGCCGAGAGAGGGACGGACATAAAGTGAGGAGGAAGAGTGAGAAAGTTCTCTATGCTGACCCCACCCTCAACCCAGGACTATCCAGGACAGATGGAAAGGTTACTGCCCAAGAGGACCAGGCGGGAGAGACTCCCAGAGCGAGCCGCTTCCCATCTCCATCGGCAAAATGGCCTGCAATCTAGAGGGAGTGGTGCAGGTGCCCCATCCGCCACCCGGACCCCTGCCCCGGGACTTGCCAGGAAGCTGCCCTCCACTCCTCTCCTTCCACACACCACACAGAGAGCCACACAGACCTTCCCCACCCTGGCCAGCTGGAGGATTTGAGATCAGTCTCTTCACACCTCAGCTTTCTAACCTGTAAAATGGAGACAATAAAAATAACACCTTCCTGGGGCGGTGCCTGTGGCTCAAAGGAGTAGGGCGCCGGCCCCATATGCCGGTGGTGGGTTCAAACCCAGCCCTGGCCAAAAAGTGCAAAAAAAATAAAAAATAAAAATAACACCTTCCTTACTTGGGTATTGCAAGGATTAATTGACATAGTGTGAGAGAGAGCATGTGTGTGTGTGAGTGTGTGTGTGTGAGTGTGTGTGTGTATGTGTGTGTGTGTGAAGTACTTCATAAATGCCTGGAACACAGTGAGGCCTTGATAAATGGCAGCTCTAATGCACATGTGTGTAGTGGAGAAACAGAAGCTGTCATTGTGGGCACTCCTGAGGAGAGCAGGGCTGAGAATGTTGGAAAGGACAGCACAGGGGCAGGCAGCAGGGGAGGCAGAGGAGTCTGGAGCCCAGGGCCGGGGGTGGCATGCAGAGGTAATGGCCATGCATCCCAAAGCTGGTAGGCCTTGAGCCCACCTGGCCCATCTCCCATGCCCTAGCACTAACTGTACCAAGGACATCTTGAAGGACATGAGGATACCCCTCCTGCCGTTGGCTAGATTACCCTGATTCCAAGGTTCTCCTCTGAGAGCTGAGGTCAGTCTCCCACCAAGCCCTAAGCCTCTCCACCCATCCCTTGTTTTTCCTTTGGTGAAATATTTTGGAAAGCCCAGAGCCCAGAAGACCAGAACAACAGCTGGATGAGCCAGCAGGCTGGGGCTCAGGGACTACCCAGAACCCCTAACACATAATGGGGCAAACAAGAACCCAAGGAGCATCTGTCATCCTGGCTGCCTGTAC